CAATGTGCCACAGCCCCACCTCAATTTTTTCACCAGCCGCCACTGGTTATCGTGTAGACAGCTGTCACGAACCAATTTCATTGACTCTCGCACTACACACTGTTGCACATCACCCCGGACTACATATCCCATCATTCATTGCACTGATTGCACTCAGCACGGATTGCACACAGCTGTTAACACTGATTGCACCCAGCTGTTTCATATCACTCCCTCACTATTTAACACTCACTCTGATCCCTTCCCTCTGCCGAGTATTGTTTAGTGCTTATCTCCAGATAGTTACACTACAGAGCCCTCATTTGTTTCCCTGCCTTAGCCTTAGCCTTTTTCGATCTTCGCCTGGTTTCCTAGATTTCCCCTTTAGTCTTGCCCCTTTTTGATTCTGTCTGCCGTTCATTGACCTACACTAGCCCTAGGACTATTCTTGTGTCTTGCCCGCCATATACCTGTCTGCCACTGTTTGACCCTGCCTGCTTTATGACCACGTCTCTGTCTTCTCCAAAATAAAGCTTTGCAAATGGATCCGCACGTCTCATGTCTCGTCAGCCCCGTTACAACAGCGAAACCAGAGTTTTTGGCTTGTGACTTCGGAGCCTGCGCTGTTATCTCCGCCTACTGGAGACTTTTTCAGGCTTCTGATTGGCCAACATGGCTTTATGGTTGAGATTATATCGCCACCTGTTGGTTTGGCATGCTCTTGACAGTGCTTCATAGCATGTGTTTGCGTTTTCATGTGGACGGAGTTTTTTTTTAAAACGGGTGAAGGGAAAAACTCTGTTTAACTTATTTTGGACTGATGTATGCAACACCCGCTGAGTGGCATTAAACAGCTTGAAAGATCAAAGACAATTTTTAATATAACTTCGACTGGATTCGTCTGAAAGAAGAATGTCATATACACCTAGGATGACTCGAGGGTGAGTAATTTATGGGCTAATTTTCATTTTTGAAAGGGTGAACTAACCCTTTAAAGAAGCTGGAAGTGACATTTTTCAGTGTTGTCATTGATGCTGCAATCTCAGCCCTTCAAGAAATTTTTACACATTGGGCAATGTGGGAAAGAAGTTTTGTTGACAGAACAATATGAGGCCCTTAGTATGACACTCTATAAATGACACTCAGACTTGGATGGCAGAGAGCTTGCACAGGAACTCAAGAGCTTGCCTGACGTGCCATCAAAGTCCATGAGCCTGCTTGAGCTGCTGTTTATACATGAAAAGGAGCTCTCAGAAATGTTTCCAAAATTTGTGGACTGCTCTCAGAATTTGCCTTACATATCCAGTGACAATAGCTGAAGCAGAGGAGCTTTTCAAAGCTGAAGTTCATCAATTCATACCTGAGGTCCACCATGTCACAAGAAAGCCTTAGTGGCCTTGCTGTCATCAGTATTAACCATGCAATTGCTGGGCAGATTTCTTATGATGATGTAATTGATGACTTTGCTGAATGGGGTGGTTCTCCCAGAGCGCCATTCAAGCTAGAACCGCCAGTGTTATTATTTTATAGCCTTCACAGAAAAAGGAATAAAAGCACAAAGAAATAAGAGGATCCTTAACATGTTATATGAAAATTGGTGGCATAGAGTCTAGGAATGGTTTGCAACCCCCTAGGCCCACAGTAATTGTTTAACCCTATCTTCAGCAGCCAATGGGAACTCATGCTTGCCTGTTCAAACTGGACAAGTGGCTCAAAGAGATCCTACATAGTTTGCACATTGTCAACGTGTTGTTTGCATGTTGATTACACGTCAACTATGCATTGATTTTTCACATGTAAATAACATGTATTCAGTGTGTAATCAATGTGTCATTGATGTGTTGTTTTTGACTTTCCTGGCATTCCATATCTGTGCGCATACATGCGTCGGATGCCTGTGTTCACAGAGAACTGCTTCAAATGGTGATGGGAAGTCAATGATGGGAGATGTCCTTTCACCATCTAGTGATGTCCAAATCATTTTTTTAATTTTTTTTTATTACCTGTACCTTCCAAAATTATTCAAACCGTGAATAAATTATATAGACAGGGGTGCACATAAGTGGTCCGCAGGTCCACATGCGCGACCAAAACAAAAAATGCACTGTGTAAATAAGTTTTGAAAGCGCATTTGCGTACCGACATTATTGACAGCTGTTAATGCACAATCTCCATTTTAGATCGACAAACTGTACTGTATAAGATTTTTATTCAAACTGAAAGCATAAATCTAGGCTATCCGCTGCCCTTTTTTCAAAGCACAATGCAAAACTGTGACATTTCATTCACTGACGTTCTTCAATCGGCAGCTCCAAACCCGGAAGCGCATATACTTACTTTGCCGGCAACCCGCCAAAATATAAGCCTGTTGATTTTAAGTTCGAAAATTTAAAAAAAGTACTAAATAATAACATTTTATTTTTAAGTTTACTATAAAGTAATTGTATTTGTATTTAATACTTCCCTTTAATTTTAAAATATAATAGTATTATCACACTTTATTATTTAGTTTATTAATTAAAAAAAAACTAAATAAATAAAGTGCAATATTATTATCAGTCTTCATTTATTTTTTTTATAGTTCAATTTAATGGGTAACGGTATATGCAGTGTGAGGACCAAACCAAATCTCCAGGTTCTCATATGAGAACCAGGTTGAAAAACTTATGTACACCCCTGTATATAGAGAAAGCGATCAAAGAACATTTACATTGTCAAAGAACAGTATGACTGAGTATCATTCTGAAAAACTCCCCTTATAATCAGTAAAGCTGTCTATACACTGTTTGATGAATGAATCTCCTGCTTACATAAGCACATCTGCACTTTGTTATTTATGATGAAAGGATTCGCAAGAGAGCAGAATTCAGCAGCGAATGACAACTTTTGTTGTTCAGTGCCGCACACTGAACAACAAAACTCTGGTGTTTCAGCGATTGCTCATCTGAATGCCTCTTGATTGGCGCTGCATTCATAAACTCAACAGACTTGTGTGTGTGTGATTGGTAATGACGCGCAACACTGTAAAAACACGTAAAAAAAAAAATCATGGAGCAGATTTAATTCTAATGTTGCTGTCAACACTTTTCATTTCATTTTCATTTTATTCGCGACATCCGTAATGGATTTAGTTTAACTGTACAGCAGCATTTTTGTCCATGTGTGTTGCCATTGTTTCTACAAGTGGAAACCAGTAGTGTGGATATTAAGTCATTCATAGGCGACAATGAACCTGTCAGACTCTGGTCCATGTTTTGTGTGTGTTTTGCTCCTCATGTGCCTTCCTTGTCCTTATTTGGTCCTTCCTGTTCCTCATTGTGTGTATTCGTCTCCAGCTGTGTTTTGATTAGTTAATTTGTTCCCAGGTGTGTCCCATTGGTGTCTGTGTATTTAAAGTGTTCTCAGTTCTCTGTCTGCTGTCAAGTGTCATTTTGTTTGCCTGATGTCTACCGTCCTGTGATCCTCAGCGTGCCTTCATTAAAACCCTTTTGATTTACTTTATTCCTCGTCTCCTCGTTCATTCCTGTGCTTACGGAGTTGTGGCAGAACAGCAGACCTGAACAGTAAGCGGCGCTCCTTCTCTCGTGTTTTGTTTTCGTTTTTGAATAGTCCTTTGTTTTCTTTTATTTATCCTGTTTGTTCCCCGTGGTGTGAGAACTGCCGTGCTGATAAGTTCGCCGGCCGCTCCGAAGACGAGCCCGCCGGCCAGGCCAATGTCAAGTTCATCGGCCGCTCCGAAGACAGACCTCTCAAGCCTGCCGGCAGTTCCTCAGTCAAGCACGCCAGCCGCGGCTCCCACAAGCCCGCCGGCTGCTCCTGAGTCAAGCCTGCCAGCCCCGGAGATCGCTCCAGTGTCGGCTCCAACCCCAGAGCTCGCTCCTGTTCCTGAGTGTGGCCCACGGAGGGCTCCTGTTCCCGAGTGGCTCCTGTTCCCGAGTGTGGCCCACAGAGGACTCCTGTTCCCCGAGTATGGCCCACGGAGGGCTCCTGTTCCCCGAGTATGGCCCACGGAGGGCGCCTGTTCCCGAGTATGGCCCACGGAGGGCTTCAGTCCCCGGTTATGGCCCACGGCCGCCGGGGGCTCCTGGTCCCCGAGTGTGGGCCACGGAGGGCTCCTGGTCCCCGAGTATGGCCCACGGAGGGCTCCTGTTCCCCGAGTATGGCCCACGGAGGGCTCCTGTTCCCCGAGTATGGCCCACGGAGGGCGCCTGTTCCCGAGTATGGCCCACGGAGGGCTTCAGTCCCCGGTTATGGCCCACGGCGGGCCTCGGAGCCCGAAATCTTCCCCAAGTATTTTTGGGGGGGGGGATTAGGGCTCCAGCCGTAGAGGCCAGGGCGGGGGCTGGGGCCATGGCCTCCTGAGTCCCCTGATCCGCCATGGCGCCCCAAACTGCCAGCTCCGCCATAGATCCCGGAACGGGCGCCGCCCTGGAGGCCTTCTGTCCGGTAACCCTGCCCCTCTCCCCATTGGATGTTGTATGGCGTGGGACGCGCCTTCTGGGAGGGGGGAGTTATGTCAGACTCTGGTCCGTGTTTTGTGTGTGTTTTGCTCCTCATGTGCCTTCCTTGCCCTTATTTGGTCCTTCCTGTTCCTGTCCTCATTGTGTGTATTCGTCTCCAGTTGTGTTTTGATTTAATTCGTTAATTTGCTCCCAGGTGTGTCCCATTGGTGTCTGTGTATTTAAAGTGTTCTCAGTTCTCTGTCTGCTGTTAAGTGTCATTTTGTTTGCCTGATGTCTCCCATCCTGTGATCCCCAGCGTGCCTTCATTAAAACCCTTTTGATTTACTTTATTCCTCGTCTCCTCGCTCATTCCTGTGCTTACGAGTCGTGACAGAACAGCAGACCTAAACAGTAAGCGGCGCTCCTTCTCTCGTGTTTTGTTTTTGAATAGTCCTTTGTTTTCTTTTATCCTGTTTGTTCCCCGTGGTATGAGAACTGCCCAGTATTTAAATTTCTCTGGATTTACAAATCCTTGGGAACTTTGGGATAACATAAAAGCACAACTGCATGAAATATATAACACTGTGCAAGTGATTTTTGGATATTTTATGATGAAACTGTTACATTGTGCTTTTAAACGAGTTCTCTGACATTTACTCAGGCATTGCTCTTTCTACGGTCTTTCTGCAAAGCTCCCCTTGCTCAGTCTCTCCTCAGCATCATGAGTGTTAATGCCCTCCCTATATTGCTGATTTTCTACAAGAGTGTTGGGCTGCCCAGTGTGATCGGTCTAATCCACATAGTTTTTTCGCCTATTTACACAGCCAGGACTATGTACAAACACAATTGAAAGCTAGCATTCTTCCATCATTAACTACCCTAGAATATTAGCTATGCACGTCCCAACTAATCCTAAACTACAGTCACTAAACTGAAGCGATCCAATTTCCATGCGCATCTGACTGTGAGATGAGTGCATAAGTTAATGTTCATGTTGTGGTTATTTCAGCAGAGAGTTTGCTTCATACATTCACTTCAACAGCAATAAATTAAAGAGATAAAGTAAACTTTTTCATCCAACCAAACTGCACATGGACTTGAAAAGTTCAGAGAAGGGTTACAATCAGCTAGGACATTTTATTATCATAATCATAAATACACCTTTTTGTTGCACAAATAGTTTTACTATTTGCTACACTTTATTTATTTACCTATAGAGGCTAATGAATTGGAAGTCATTTACTGCAAATAGCAAACTTCGGCTTTGCAAAATAAATTATACTTTCAGTAGATTTTCACATCATACCAAATCTCTGCAGGAAAGATCGGGGCGTTTTCGACCATGTTACCTGATTGGCTGACGTCATAGTGATGGGTAGGTTTAGGGGTGGTGTTAGGTAAGCGGGATCATTATAATTTAGAGAAACCCATCAGTTTGAAAACACCCACAATGTCAGAAATACCCACTTTTGCTCTGCATAGACCTCAATCTCCATCATATCGGATTTACCAATGGATTAATTCACACAACACTCTTGTAGCCAGCAGTAGAGGGCGCTTACGCTCATGATGGGGAGGAAAGAGAGTGAGCAAGTGTTCACAGTTGTTTTAAAGGGGTCATATGATGCGATTTCAAGTTTTCCTTTCTCTTTGGAATGTTACAAGCTGATTGTGCATAGATAAGATCCCTGAAGTTGCAAAGACTAAAGTCTCAACCAAAGAGATATTCTTTATCAAAGTTAAGACTCTGCCACGCCCCCCCTAAAACGGCTCGTTCTAACACGCCCCCACATATCTACCTCACTATGTGGAAATATTTGCATAATGCCGCCCAAATGTGCACGCAAAGATAAACTTGTAAATCATTTGTTTATTTTTTTAAATTTCTTTTTGGAGATTGTCCGAAATGAAAGCGAAGGCGAGATATTTAAGTTTTCCTGCGTGACATTGTTGTCATGAAATCCAGTGAGAATTTGACATAGCCTGTCGCCACACTTCACCGCTAATATGTTTTTTTTTTATTATTATTATTATTATTACTTAGATTATGCCGGTCATTTGACTTATAGCATTGTCCAAGTGTTTCCCATACATTTAGTTATTTGTGGCGGCCCGTCACTATATCAAAACTGACCAGCACAAATAGCTAGATTTTCCAAGAGGCTTATAGGCCCACTTCATTGAAACATGAGCAATGCACGTTTTAAAATTAAAATGCAGCGCGGGTGTTTTTATATGAATGTATCTTTGAAAAGAACCTACCACCTTCAGAAAAGCTTCGATGTCATTTTCATTTAGTCTTTCCTGTAATGCCTGATAAAGTAGCGTTTGTGAGCAGTGCTTATTTGATTACATCCGTTACCGGGGAAACCGCTATATCTCCCGCTCCAACAGTGCCTCCTGCTGGCAGAGAATTTATTTGCATTTTCAAGTCTGTGGGAAACGCTGGTGTCTGTCAACAAATATAAACAAAAAGCATGCTTCAGAACTGTTTTGAGAATGTGCTTAAGTTTTGAGCCATGTATTATTATTATGAATTAGGCTACTACTACTATTAGCTATTACTATCTTGTACCCTGCAATAAACATTTACTCAAACTCCCTTTTATGAGATGGAGGAAAAAAAGAAAATCGGCAAAACATGTCGGCCAAAAAAACTGCATCATATATCAGCCATCAGCTGCCCTGATTTCTAAACATCGGCATCGGCCAAAGAAAAAACCCATATTAGTCTAGCTCTATTGCTGACACTTAAATTAATTGTTTTGCCACTTTTGCAATTGTTATTCATGTATTTTGAATGCAAAGGGCACTTTATTATTATTTTTAAGTAAGTGTTTATTTCTTACGCATGTTATTAATAACCAATTGTTTCAGTCCGGACCTTTGACACTGATGAAAATTCAGATTTGGACCTTTGAATGTAGACTTTGAGAAGCCCTGATTTATAGTAACAGGACAGTTTGGACTGTTAGTCATTAGGCTTGTTCGAGATGAACTACACTCGCCTGCCACTGGCAGTCGGGGCGGAATTAAAAGCAGACACGTCAAGTCGGACACTTTCTGCTCCCAGTAGTGACGCTCTCACGGTTAGGGATGGGCGTATCAATCCGAAGTATCGATATATCGATACTGTATCGATACTCAACCAAAAAATATCGATACTAAGGTGCGTTTCATTTACCAGTGGTTTTGTTTATTTAACAAAAATAATAATAATAATGCGTACAATATGCATTGAATTGGACGAATAACCTTTGTTAGCGAGTAATTGTGTAGGATATAACTATTTTCCTGCATCTGAACACACAAATGTTGCAGGACAGAACCAATCAATCACAGAGAGCATTCACTCACTGCTGACAGTGCATTCAAACAGGGCTGCGTTTCCCAAAAGTATCATAAGAAAGCATTAAAGCGTTTGGGAATGGCAGCCCTGAACAATGCTTATCAGAGGACAAAAATAAATGTTTGAGTTATTTCACAATAAACAAATTGAAATTGTAGCCTACATAGTTTGCACAATTGCAGTTATTTAAATTGAACGTTGAAAGATAATATAGATCATGTTCTAATCTGTAATGTTAATAGAAATCATACACTGTCAGAATAAAAATGTTGCATTTTATGCATGCAACAGCCATTCACTGGCAGTCCCTAATGGCAGTACAAAATATTGCACTAAATCAAAAGTTCAAATGTTACAAATAAGTTAGAATATTAATGTTGTAATACTGGTAGCACTAATATAAAAATGTGATGATATATGTTACAAAAAAGTAACAATTTTGAAATACGTTGATGGTTGTATTTTTTTGTATTTGATCTCAGTATTCCTATCAATGTTGTATAAGGGTTTTTAATGCATAATAGTAAGCCTAGAATGTGATCAAACAGTTTAAAATAGCTGGGCTAAGATAGATCCCAATTTTTAAGACTGCAGGAATATGTTAATTCAATATACACTTTATCCCACCGGTTACAATTGTGACTGACCATAAAATAAAAATTTTCACACACTTTTCCAACAAATTTTTTTTTTGATTATTTCAAAGGGTTACTAATGACACATCATTTGGATATTTTCATGTCTGGGAAAAATTTGGGATTAAATGGGTTAAAATGGGTTTTAAACTAAGTTAAGTGGTTTTCATTACCCATTTTACTCTTAGTAATTTAATAATTTAATAAATTTCATAATTTAAAAGTTTAGTGCAGAAGTATCGAATCGGTATCGATATCGACGATACTGCCTTGAAAAATATCGGTATCGTATCGAAAACAAAATAAGGGGTATCGCCCATCCCTACTCACGGTGTTTACATACTCTGTCACAGATGAAGTGAATTAAATGCAATATTTGTCAAATACATCGATGTTTCAGAAACGTTTTCATGAGCAACAGACACACTTTTTTATATACAGCTTGATAGTTCACATAAAGTTAACATATACTATTTAAATACCAGTAAAGTGGTGGTATTTTATCTGTGTTTTTATTTTTTACGCGTCTCAAGATAACAGTGCGAATACACTAAAATGCTTTTACTGTTATAAAAACACAGATTTGTTTGCATTATTGGAATTGAATTGTTAGAATAAACACGCAACACACATCGTGCTTGTCATCACAGAATCTGACCAATGAAGTGTGTTGTCATCAAGTCTTTCGCAGCCAATTTTCTAACCAGAATGCATTGCTTTTGACAGGCGGCAGTCGATCTTTGTGGCGCCGCATGAAGTTGAACACACCGGGACTGAAGGCGGGTTCAGTTCGCTGTGCGGCTCTGTTTAGGTCGGTCTGGACGCGGTTCGGCTTCGACTCTCTGGCTGCATCCGAAAACTTGCTGCCTCGATGCCGTATGAGGCATTGACTTTGCAGGCAGCGTTTTTGCACGAAGGCACCTCATGAAACTGATTTCGGACAGGCTTCTGAGGCAGCGTAACGGTTTAATGATCTACAACAAAATAGAACGCGTTAAATGAATATTTAATTACTATAATACTGATTTCGCGCTAGAAATTTCATCAAAAGTGCAAAAAGTTAGTCAGAAATATACATTTACACAAACTGACCACCAAACGCAACTTTCAGACACCATCTTTATTGTTTAGCTCAACCGTCACGGAATGGAACGCACGGGATTGTGGGATATCAAAGGCACCGAAGGATACATCTGTGCTGCCTTCAAAATTCGATCAGAAGAAGGTACCTCCAGAGACAGGAAGCAAAGCAGAATTTGGATTCGGACGAGCCTTGATGCCTTGGAATGCTGTCTACGAAGGCAGCATTTTCAAAGCTTTCAGACGCAGCCCTAGTGTCTGAGTTGCATAGTGTGTTTTTTTCATTTGGGGGCGGAGCAATGAAGGGAGAGGTGTGTTTGTTTGGCTGTGTTGCCAATTTGGGGATTTTGTCGCCAAATTTAGCTACTCTCATTGTAGCTGCAACTTTTTAAATTTTTTGCGACAAGGAGCTATTTTAGCTATATTTAAATAAAACTAGCGATTTTTTATTTTTTACTTGGCCACACCCTGCCGTAGGCCCTTAACCTCTCACGTTTGCTCTCAATCATGCCAACGAGTCTGCGCAGTGAACACACCAGTACGCCACGCCTGCCATGATGCACACCACAATTTCATTATAACCATCAATCAAGATTGCCGAGAAAAAATCTTGTTTTAACCGCGGACACAAAAGTTATACCACAATTCATGCACAGTCATGTCAACCAGATACTGAGAGAGAGACACAGTGCATCATCGTGTCATGTGTGCTGGGATGCAGTATTTTGCACTTACTTTGTAGTAATAGAGTGTGTTGACTGAAATAAGTTTGTATGAATAAAGTTTTTGGAGAATCATAATATCTCTTATCTGTTGTATTTGAGCAGGACAGGGATGCACTTTGGCGACACATAAAACAAATTCCCAACATTATGTTCCAACAAATTTTTTTTTTGATTATTTCAAAGGGTTACTAATGACACATCATTTGGATATTTTCATGTCTGGGAAAAATTTGGGATTAAATGGGTTAAAATGGGTTTTAAACTAAGTTAAG